AAAGGACCTTTATCCGTCAATCATTCTCACTCATTTACCAAATCACTCAACTGCATATAAAAAAATTTCTGCTTACAACTATCAAAGGACATTATAAATATAACATGATCTAAATCTTACTTTAAGTCTACTTTCCTTTGAGTTCAGTGCTAAGCTTCTTTGTTAAACAGCAAATATACATCTTTACGAGGAAAACTTTTAGGATAATTTACGTTATTACTGCCGAGTCAAAAAAAGCACACTAAGTGAACCAAAACCCATGCTTTAGAGACCTACCTATGTAGAATTTGATTTGCTAGTACTTAATCTATTAAGTTAATCTATTAATTACACCTGTTTAGTTCCTTGATTTAGCTCTCAAGCTAACTTGAGCTACTGACAACAGACATTCCATACATGCACAGAATGGCGAAAACGCACACACATTTCATACTCATTAAAAAGTTGTAAGCAGAAATTTTCATATGCAAATGACCGACCAACTCTATCTCTCATGATACAAAAGAATAATTATTGTATACTAAATTATAAGACTAATTTACCCAATGGATATAATCATTCACAAAAGCGCATATGCAAATATAGTATACGTCTTACGATAATAAAACCGCAAATATGACATGAAAATTTACCTGGTGTACAAATGCAACAGTTGGCACCATACATCCATGGAGAAATCTGACATCGATAACATGAAGCTCTTCAAGTCTGAAATAAATGATAATAATATAATAATACAATGATAATAAATATTATTAATATGTATTATTAATAAATATTATTAATATGTATTATTAATAAATATTAATAGCTACAGCATGAAAATCCTTTCTAAAACTATTACATTGTATGCGTTAAAAATACAAAATGAACTTCCAATCAAACAATGGCTCGAATGCTCTCAGAATAAATATGGGCCACCACAAAATATTTTACCATAATTAATAAAAGTTACTGGGGTACTAAATAAACAGAATTGTCGTCAAGTCATTGTCAATGACACGTCCCCGTTCCGTTCATATTTGAGTGACATATACATTCAAAGCAGATCATGACCGAAATCTCAGACCACTTTCAGTGGTCTGATCCGAAATGCACCTGCATATGTACAACACATATGCATGCATGCATGACTGAAATCCGGTTCCGGAATTGTGAAAATACATCATTTTGATGCATTTTCGGCCTTAAAATGGCCATCATTCAGAGGATCATGTAACAAATGTACATATCTATTTGTAACATGATGTACCATGTGTGTGTGAAGTTTGAACTTGATCAATCCAGACATGTCTCGGCTACAGATCCAGAACTAAATTCTTTAAAACAAAATGGCCGCCAGTCGGTCATTTCAAACTTGATCCCCCCAAAAAAATTACGTGCATCAAGGTCCTATTATGTTTAATGTATGTACCAAATTTGAACAAAATCCATCCATGCATAACTGAGATCAGGGTCCGATATTGTGAAAATGTGCGATTTCAATGCATTTTCGGCCTTAAAGTTGCCGCCATTTGGCTATCGTTAATGAGATCA